TATGATAAAACAGCATAAGTGTCAAAAACTAAAAGAATATGAAGTGACATCGAATTGCCTAAAAATACGCTAAGTGAATTGGTCCACGTGGTATTGGAGGTTTTTTTTTTTTTTTTTTTTTTTGCATAAAATGATTTCAGTCTGTCTATATTTTTCTTTAACAAATTAATTTTTCTTATATCTTATTATATTCTTGAAAGTATTTAATGTAATTAAAACAAAATATTTTCTTTTTAACATTATAAAATAATCCATGTTTATTCTTGCAAAATTTAAGGAAAATTTAGAGCATTATTTTTCTAATGTTTCATATAAATATAGTTAGTAACTACCTGAAATATGCACAATGCATGAAATAATTTTTATTATTAACAATCATTATAATATTCTAAGAAAGCCATTTTTTTTTTAATAATGAGTAACGGAGTAAATTTTTGAAAAGTTTAATTTCATTTTCAGTCGCTGCTTTTCAAATAGTAAAAATATGATTATTTTTAAAAGGCATGGAGGTACATTTAGATTTCTTAAAATTATTTTATTAATTTGACTTTTATTACCAATTAGAAATAAAATAAATGGCATAACAGCTTAAATTACATATAAAATTTGAAAAAGTAATACTGGCATTTACACATGTGTTAAAAGACGATTTTTCAAAGTATGAAAAATTCTTTGTAGCAAGCAATTGAATCCTGATTACGTATGTGTAAATACAGAGGAACAACGGCCGCTGGAAAATGACAAATTATTTGATTCAACTACTCGTAACTGACTAATTTCTGCGTCAACTCAATTGCTTCTTAATTCGTCGATTTCCGAAATCTAACGAAGCAATAATGCAAAAAAGACTAGCCGAAATTGTAGAAACGATAAGTCGTGCACTTTCTCTTTCATCTTTCAGCATTTCCTGAAAGTGAATTTTAAAACAGCAGTCACAATATGATGCTATACCGGTCTAATGAAAGTTCTCGCAATAGGAAACTGCAATTTCACGTCCTAATATAGGAGAATGCGAGGTGAAAACGCCCTCGACGCGAATCGTGGAGTATATGTAAATTGTCGAGCGAGGTAGTGTATCGGAGAAATGACAAGGACATGAAGCGGATACATAGAGAGATAGAAAGAGAGATAGAAAGACAGAGAGAGAGAGAGAGAGAGAGAGAGAGAGAGATGTGGCTTGGAGTAAAGAGCATTTCAGCATTTCACTTTTGGCGATCACATTTTTGGTTCTTACATTTCTATTGTAAATAATTATAACAGAATTATGTAGCAAAAATACTTCATAGTATACTAATCGTAAATATATCAAAATATTTGCTGTAATTATTTTAAATATATGTTGGTTAAATCTATATATATATATATATATATATATATTGAATTTTATTAATATAAAATAGATATTATACAATCAGTCAGTGTATTTAAAATAAAATTATTATGTAAATACTAATAAATCCTGTACATATAATTTTTAAAATAAATTTTAAAAACTTCACGCACACTTTAAAATAAAATGGAAAATTAATATTTTACTTTTGTTTAATGAAAATACTGCTTGATTAATTGACTATTATTTCGTTATTCTTAATCATCTAACATTTTTGTTGTCATTTAAAGACTCTTATACAAGGTGTAAAACTTTTATTACGATATCATTGGTAAGCCATATATAAACGAATAAGACGAAAATATTCTATTATGTAGATTTAAAAGAATAATTCTCTTAATCTATATCATATTATAAATTTTACAATGCAAAATAGTAATTATATTTAATCAAATTCATAGTCATAGCTTATAAATACGGTAGCAATTGCGATGAAATCAACTAGAAGCGATGCAAGTGCAATTATAAAGGACGGGAAGAGGTAGAGGGGTGAGAGAAAGTGTTGTAACGAATGACACGAGCATTAGAAAATACATGTATTCGAGGAAAAAAAAAACATGGTGCTTGCTCTGCACCAATATTCCAGAGCAAATCCTACCAACAGACGCGTCCAATGTCAAAGCAACAGAACCGAAGCTGATTAACCCTAAACTCCACTTTCCGTTAATTTTCTGTCCCTTTTCTCCCTCACCCTCGTACCCACGCACACCAATCCACCCACTCGCCCACCTATAGTATATCAGATGCTTTAAGCTTCTGCTTTACGTGTATCATGCTATACTCTTGTCGGGCTTTACGTATCGCGTCCTTGGGGCAAGTCTTGTTTATCCAGCTAAACAGGCGCACAAGCGACTGCACTGATAACGTATTAGTGACTTTGCATCGGTGATGTTTGTTTAAATCTATCGTTTTTCTATTTAAAACAAGCTAATAAAATTGAAATAATATTAAAACAATACCAATCGAATGAAATTTTAATGGTCAATTATTATTATTATTATTATTTGGATATTTTTCTTTATGCGGTCATGTCAACTTAGTCGAATTTTTATTCACGTGAAATGAATTAATTGATTTTTGCAATTAAAAGCAAGCAATACGGGCATTTTTAGTTTTAAACTTTTCATTACTATTACACGTACTACGGAGGATTGAACCTGACTAGCCATTTTCTTTTCTTAGAATATTTTCAACTTTAAAAAGAAAATCAATTGTACTATGACTTGTAATTCTTTTCGTAAAAGGTATTGACGATTAGAATGAATTGTGAATTTTCGTTGAAATTATAAATCCTATTAAATTAGAAAATTACAAAAATTATTATTAATGTTTGTTTCAATTTACACGATAATCATTGAAAAAACTATAAAATATTTTTAAAACTATTTATTTTGTTAGTTGAAAATGGTAAACAATCGATTGAAATGTATTAGAAAAAAGTATTTTTACGATCCGTCAATAAGCTTATAATAAAAGATACAAAACTGAAAATGAAAGCTTTTCGTTTTTTCTAAATATATATATATATATATATATATATATATATATATATATCTAATATATTTACAAATATATAGTTAATGTAGCTAAACGTCGTAAGTGGTTAAACAATGAATGTTATATATTAATAGATAACTGATTATGAAATTAATAAAAAGTGCGGCAAATGCGGTAAGACGTTACTTTCCACTCGGAAAATCAAATTTCCTGTTCATGAAAATGAAGTGCGAAAGGATAATGCATATGGAAAGGCCAATTTGGAAATAAAGTAATGTCGTTGATAAAGATACAATTATTGGCCTAAATATTCCTTCGTTTAGTTAATGAACAAAGTGAACTAATTGCAAATGAAATACAGAAATAAATACCGATAATTTGAATGTTGTAGCATAGCATGGTTTTCCAAGATTTTTCAATGAAAATTATATATATTTTTTTTTATTTTACTCCTTTATAAAGATAATTAAAATGATATATCAATGTAATTAGTGATTACGCTTACAACTCCTAATAAATATTTCTAATAGTGAAAATTCTAATTAACTGACATCTATTCTATTTGTTAGCACTTTACAGAAAGATGTATAACTCGAGTATTTATGTATAACGAATTAAATAATATTTATAATTTCATAGTTGCATTGATAAATCCAAAATTTCATGTATCAATTCATTGTTATGAATTTAGAGAAGTTCGTATCCGAAGCTGATAACGAATCCGAATCAGATAACGTAAGAATTGGTTGAAAATCAAGTCTGTACAACACTTTTTTCACACAACACATAATCAACGACTGTGATTCATTATTCTTCGAAACGGAGAATCCGAGCGATATGAAAAAAAAATAATAAAAATAGATTATGAAAATAGGTACCAGACTAAGGCTAAGTATTTGCAACAAAAGCAATAATGACGAAATTATCAATATATTATATTATTGTAAATAATTGATGATCATTGTTTGTTCTTGAAACTATGCATTCGATGGCCGAGTGTTGGAACATTCCTTGTTTAATTCTGTTGGTCAAACATCTCCTATTAAGTAATTTTGCATTAGCCTCTGCTGGAATTTTATCTTGGACTCTGACATGAAAATGCAAGTGACAAGACATGTTATATCATGCATAATGAGAGCCCAAGTGCGCTTGTGCGAAATCCGTAATAAAAATATTGTCTCGAGGTGAAAGGAGAAATAATTGTAAAATAATGGGTATGCGGCAAAAATTTATGCCCGTAAATCAAATATCGATCTTTATTTCATGCATATTTCATCTGCTCGTAGCAGTACACTATTGTATCAATCATTGGGTAAAACAGTGATATTTGTTTTTTTTCAAACTCCAGACATAAGACACAAGATGTATTAGAATAACGCTGGAGCACATTGATTCGTGAATGCGCGTATTTCGCTATGACGTTAGGTAAAACTTTTCATCCAACAAACATCAAACGCATCAAACGAATATTAAAGTAAGAAAAAAGTTTATAACTGCGACGTAGGGTTAAAATGTTGGAGCTCTCTTTCGTTCCGTCTCTTTTTAACAGAGCCGTCGATCGAGTGTTGATATTGTATTAAATTTCATGTCCCGACAATTTACCAACGGCCATTATCTTTCACAATTTTCCGATTTTACGAGTGCATGCAAATTAGTTTTTCCGACTAACTATTTTGCCCCCTCGGCCGTGAATAATTGATTTTAATTAAATATCTATCAAGGCTTATATTATTGAATACGAGAGTAAATAAACGCAGTCGAGACGTAAATTGAAAATACCCATACGAATCAGTTATTCATCGCGTCACGGCTGATGCACCGCGCCGAGCGCATTAAAGTTCACTCGCACAAGCGGCATAACTAGCGGTATTCGATTAGCCGATAGAACGGTAAGAAAATCGAATATCCCTTTTACCCAATGAGCGCGCTCGGGGACGGCGGATCCCCGGCTTCCCAGCCCTCGGCTGATACGCCCGAGGAATGGCGAAAGGCTGTGTCAAAGAGCGGCTAAAGGAATGATAAGTCAGGGCACTCCGACTGAAAAATCGGAAAGTACAAAGTAAGCTCTCTCGACCGCCGCAGCGCCCAGAACCACTAATGTGCTCGCTCGCAGCGCGGACGGAAACTTCGAGGTGACCTTGGCCACGAAGGCCACCATCTACCACCAGGGCTTGGTCGAGTGGAAGCCGCCAGCGATATACAAGTCCTCCTGCGAAATCGACGTCGAGTACTTCCCTTTTGACGAGCAGACCTGCGTACTCAAGTTCGGTTCGTGGACCTACGACGGCTTCAAGGTAAACGCGCAATGCATGATAGTGAAGTGCTCGAGGAAGCGCCGATAGGCGCCCAAGTAGTCGCCGTCGCATAAGTCCGTAGTCGCCATCTCGCGCCTCGGCTCGTCCCCAGGGCCAAACGGTCAATCTGCGCGCACCTCCAAAGGATCTTGCGGTCCTTGCTCGTCGTTCCCGCCACTCCAGAGCGCACTCTATATATTTATAAGTAGGGATCCGTCAGCGCGCAAGTCACATGCACAGAAAATCACAGGACTGAACGTGGGATGAGGATGCGCGGGCTTCGGCACGCACACGCACACGCACACGGACACGGACACGGACACACACACACACACACGCACGCACGCACACGCACACGCACACGGACACGGACACGGACACACACACACACACACGCACGCACGCACACGCACACGCACACGCACACGGACACGGACACGGACACACACACACACACACGCACGCACGCACACGCACACGCACACGGACACGGACACGCACGCACACGCAAACACGCGCGCGCGCGCGCACACCACTTTATTAATGACAGCATCCCCTGTGTGTTCATGTATGGATATTTATATATCATAACGAATTCATATGTTTATCTATATATGCATCTATGTATGCAACTATTATGAAGTTGAAACCACGTTATGTCTATGTAAGATAAGCAAACGAACGATGGCCATCCAACGCGATGGCCCACACGTATGGCGACGCTGTGTGAGAGTATATGACTAGTAAAGCTCCCTGTATTGTATACTATTCTGTCACTTTCTTATCTAGTATGTATTATATACTCTTCTTGCCCCTCTTGACTTTACAGCCGCGCATATAACCAATTCTACTGCCGCTATTACTTTTATTACTACTAGAATTGTTACCACTACTATTACCGCTACCACTACCGCTACCGCTACTACTAATACCAATACTACTACTAGTATTACTATCATCATCATCATCATCATCATCATCATCATCATCACAATCATCACGATTACCACTATTAGAACTATTATAGCTACTACTACTACTACTACTACTACTACTACTACTACTACTACTACTGCTACTAGTACTACTACGATTGTTACTACTACGATTGTTACTACTACTGATACTACTACCACCACCACTACTACTACTATTACTACTACTACCACCACTACCACTACTACTACTACATGTACTACCAATACCATTACTAATATTACTACTAGTCATACTAATATTGCTAATACTATTGTTAACTAATCTAATAATATAGCCTCTAACACCTCACTACTTTTAGTATTATTATTATTAACACCACGCAGGGTGCAATATTTATGGTGCGGAAAGCAAAGCACGCGCAAACAATGCACACTGCATAACAACCATCACTGTTATTCCCCTCTTTTTTTATTCGTTATTTATTCTCTCTCGTGACTCGCGCAAGAGGAAGTGGAGCGTTTTCTTCAAAATTTCACCTATTCAATCTCTCTATTCCGATTATTAGCATTTGCATATTATCAGCAATAATCTATAAACGTGTTTGTTGATTTAAAAATCTTTTATGCTAATTCATTAGATGTAATGTTGATAGAGATGCACCACTTCTTATCCGCCTACTTTTTGACAATAATTTAACATTTAGACAAATAACACCTTCCTTAGCCTCCAACACCACACCATAAACCACCCACCATTAACAAAACGATAATACTACATCCAACCCTCTAATCGATAGCTGCATTAGAGTGTGTGTTCTGCGATGTGTTTTATCTCTTTTTAGATTATATTGCAAGTTGGCTACGTACTTACATTATATATTAATATGCTCTCAATTATTCTTAATACTGACGCACACACATTCTATACTACTCTTTTCAATAATTTCATATATGGTGTGTTTCGATGTTTCATAAACTGAGACAACGAAATATGCGATATCAACCATACGAGAACCTCCTGGACGCGATACATTTCATTAAATCTAATCTTATAAATATCTTGAAAACTATGGTTTTGTTAATATCATTGACAGTAGTATTAATTCACTTGTTGATCATGCATTATAAAATTATCGATTCATTCAAAATAGCAACAACAATAAATCTATATATATATATATATATATATATATTGTTCTTAATTGTTTTTAAAAATAAATCATGATTAATCCTTTTTATCACTAGTATATTTACATTAAATTCTTAAATACAACATCCTTCGTATAATTTAAATATCATTAAATTTTTTTCCAATTAGATATTTTTTAGATATACAAATATATATTACTATAAACAACAATTTTTTATATATACAAATAACATATTTTTTGTACAGTCTCATACAAATTTCTTTCTCGAACTCGTTCAATTGATTTTACAATGACGTGTAAGCGAATTAATAGATAAATTTGATAATAGGGAACTACGATGCATTAAAATTCCTTGAAATTAGCAAATATACTATAATTACGTATATACAAGTGGCTCATCGTGTTTAATAAAGCAACAAGTAAACATTCTATAACACAGCGAATTAAATACAATAACAAATGAATAATTTATTAGATTATTCTTCTAAACAAGATAATACATCTCTAAATAATAAATCTGTTCGTGAAATTCATTGGAACACTAAAGACTGTTTGACTCGAACGCCGAACTATATGATTTACGTTTTTAAAATAACGATACTATTGTCATAGTTAAAGGTATAATTATAATAAAGAGCAATAAATATGGATAAAAATACGAGTATATGTGCACGAAATGTCCAGGAGGCGAATGAATAAGAAAAGAAGGGGAGTTGGGAAGGAAATATGTAACAAAACGAAACTTGACGCTACGAATGAGAAATAGGTGGTTGCGCCGACAGAGAGAGAGAGAGAGAGACAAAGAGAGACAAAGAGATAGAGAGAGAGAGAGAGAGAGAGAGAGAGCGAGAGCGAGAGCGTGAGCGTGGTATCACCCAGGGCTTGTTTTTTTTGTTACGGTGTTCGCAGCGCCGACGGCAACTACGAGGTGACGCTGATGACCAAGGCCACCGTCTACTATTCAGGATTAGTCGTCTGGCAGCCACCAGCAGTTTATAAGTCCTCCTGCTCCATCGACGTTGAGTTCTTTCCATACGACGTACAGACCTGCGTTTTGAAGTTAGGCTCCTGGACCTATGACGGCTTCAAGGTGCCGAAAGCTTATCCCGAAAGAGTTTTGTTTGTTTTTCTTTTTTCTTTCTGTTTTTATTAATGCAAAGCGGCCATTGATTCAGACTTACTCATGTATTGTTTATTTCCTTTGCGTTGTTTTTCATTTTAACATTTTCGTCTAAAAGCAATTTGACGTTTTGGATGAACGTATTTTTACGTATAACGGATATTGCTGTTCTGCTCTTGTTCCATTCTTTATATACATATGCACACACACACACACACACACACACACACACACACACACACAAAAGTACACGCACACACACAACCCAAAAAAAAAATATATATATATATATATATATGAAACATGTGGGTTTGTATGCGTAGATTTTCCCTCGAGGTTATATACCTGTGATTTTTACAAGTATACCAGACTCTGTTTATTAATTCAATAATTAATAACAAATGTACAGCTGGATCTTTTAATTTATTAATAAATTGTAAATTATGTCTTTAACTTGAGATAAAATACTCTAATTATAATTCTACAATAATATATACGAATATTATTCAATAACATCAATCCATTTAATTGTCTATAATACAATTAACTGCATTTCTCGTTCATTTATTACAAATTTTCGATATAATATATATAATTCTAATAGAAGCATAACAATTACTTACGACCGATAAAATAAGAAAAATTAAGAAATACAAAGAAAATACGAATTAGATGTTCTCATGTAAATTTCAAGACTATTTATAATTGCAAATGTATTTTCATGTTTATTTTTTTAATTACACAAAACAGCTATTACTAGAGAAATGAGCTATTTAATTTGCAGAGTATACTGTAGAATTTCACATGTATTTTTATAATTATATATACATATATTTATATATTTTATTTATAATTAAATATATGCATATATATATATATATATATATATATATATATATATATATATATATATATATATATATTGATTTTCTCCACTCGTTCGTTCGTTTATGAGATGCGACATTGAACATCTTATTATATAATGCGCATATACATATTTATATATTATATTCATGTATTTTTGTTCACCTTTTGTATGACAGTGTTTTTTATACATTGACGTTCATCCTTCATTCATCGTTCTTTGTTTCTACTTCTATTGTTATCATCTACATTTTTATTTTTTTTTTCCCTTAATATTTTTATTTTTTTATTCAAAAAATAATATACAAATATATATTAATAGGAGTCAAGTAAACAATAGAATGATTTATTCTTCTTCTACTCCATGATATTTGTTAATTTTACAAACTGAGTATAATCATTATATGATTTTTTTTTTATTTTTACAATTACCTATTTGTTCCATAAATACCAATGATTTATTTCTAATAGATAAATTCTTTATTACTTACTGTATCAATTCAAAGACAATTTTTAATACTTGACTCTTATATCTACATATACATATATATATATATATATATATATATATATATATATACATACATATATACACAAATATTTTTATGGGCAATAAGTGTTAAAATTTTTATGTTTGAACAGATATAGTAGATTTTTGCTACTAAATTTAATTGTTTTAGAGAATTCTAAAAAAAGTTCTTTACTTTGATTTTCTGTCCTTATATAGTAGTTAAAAATTTCATTATACATAATTCCATTGATTTTATTAATTATATCAATTTCTTAATAAGACCATTCTCACGAATTGTTGAGCTTATATTAATTTCACATAGTTATATCGGTTTTAATATTAAAAGCTAATACATAGTGACGTATTTATAATTTTTTTTAGTTAGAAATTTAATGATATAATGATAAATTAAAGTT